CAATTTTTGTTTTGTTTGAAAGGGTATACTTCCAGATTGGTCCCATTTAAATTTCAAAAAAAAAATACCACCCCTAAGGGTGGAAAAACAACTAATGATGAATTTAACCTACTTCTAATTGTCATATTGACTTGAAACTTTGCAAGTATTTCTATTTCCGTTGATAGTACAGTGGTTTGGTGTTGTTGACCTAATCTGATGGCAAGGCCAGATGATGGATAGGTGGAACTCTTCAACGGCTAATAGTAGATACTTTGAGTTTGGGCTTATTTTGTTTGATTTGACAAGCCTAACACGTTAGAATTCTTACTTTGCTGCTACTGTCTACACTAAAAAGGGAAAAATAAAAACTTTTTAACAAAAAAATAAAAACCGACTTCAAACAAAAGCACTAAAAAAATAACTGATTGGTAGTTTTCATTTACTATACATACCTAATCAAATATTGTCGAAGTCTGTGTGCTTTGGCTAAGTAATTAAAGCCTACCTATTAAATACATACCTAATCAAATATTTTCGAAATCGGTGCCAGCCCATACAAAGCAAAGCACACCGACTTCGAAGTGTTTAGTGCTTTTGTTTGAAATCGGTTTTTATTTTTTTTTTTTTAAGTCGATCAAAAAGTTGCAATTTAATGGGAATGATTTTATAAAAATATATCATCAGTATAATATTATCCTCTTAATATTTTTATCTAATTCAGAATTTATAACTTTCATTCAATGGGTACAGTACGAGATTCTGAGTAAAATCTTGGTCTGACATTTTAGCAAATGAGTGGCGAGTAGCGAGTATATTAGACACTTATTCTACTTATAAAAAAAACATTCGTTGGTACTTGTTATGGAATAATTTTACAATAAACTTTGTTAGTTTGTCCTTAATTTATAATTAGTTTTCGGCCATGATCTCGCTAACAAAAGGTAGTCTATACCATCCCTATGATGCTATTTACGTCCTTGCCAAATTGCATGAAAACCTATTTCAATGTCAAAAGGTAAAGAACAGACAGACTTACTTTTACCTATAATATTAGTATAGATTCAGGAATTGATGAATAAAAGGAGACTTTTTATCCTTAGCGAAGACATGACAGATAGGTATTCAGTGGGTACTACAAATAAAGTTCTTTCTTAAAATTACCGTTTATTTAATTGCAAATATCAAAAATTTACCTTTTATTTCGATAGTTTTTTTATGTAATGCTTGATTATGTTTATTTAGGATGTATATTTATTTTGAAAATCTATAGGTCTCCTGGTGTTTTCCTTTACGATAAGACAAATGATAACTGAGACCCAGGATTCGAACCCGCTTCACTTGGTTTCCCAAGCGACCGCATTACAACTTGATATAGCCGTTATTATTTATTGATATATTGTAAGGGTTTCGTAGCTTGAAAAAAAAATACCAACATCGATAAATAATACAATATCAATAGCCAGTTGAGTTGCCCAAAATGTTATTTTTTCTGCTAACCTCAACTTTGATGGAGACGTGGGTGTTATTTGATTGTTTACCGACTTTAGAGACTTACCTTTTAGATTTAGAAATATTTTGTGTATGAAATAACAAATGATATGAGGACAAAAAGCATTTAGGGAGATATGTATAAAAAATGACGTACTATTTCCCACTTGACCGCTTTGTCTAATTTGGAAGACCAATTAAGAGATTTGGTTTTTTATTCCTTTCGTAACAAAAATATTGCTATATTTGAATGCTATATCTATTACTTTATTCTGTACATTTATCTCCTCTGCAATATTAGAATACACTAGGTACAATAATATAATAAATCTAATTTATGTGAATCTCTTTGGACTCGAACGAGTAATATCAACTCGCATTTATTATACATAATAAAATATGTTATCTGTCGTTTGTCATGGCAAAATTGAGCATGACTGAATATTAGCATTAAGACCTGCAGAAATCATAGGTTCGACTCTCGTATGGGGTTATTAATAATATTAATATAGATTTTTTGCCCTGAGAATGACATTGGATAAATGGAATTTGATAACAACTAATTAAAAAGTCAGTATTTACCTCTTTTAATTATTAATATTAAATAACAAAAATAACAAAAACTCCAAAACTAACTGACTTGAAAAAAAACAGAAGCACAAACTAATGTTTGTCAGGTCTGAAGGCGGCAAATACAAAAGATGCTTCAAAAGCAACTCCCATATTATCTGCCTTTAGATGTCATGCTGTATAGCACTAAAATAATTGCTCGTATATTCATAAAATTCGAAAGAATGTTGTAGAGGACTAGAAAGGTTAAATTAGGATAAAATTTTGTATCTAAGTTATAATTTTTTTCTATTTAATACTAGCGACTCACCTTCACTTCGCTCGGGTTCGTCCCTTGCTTGTTTCCCAATACAAACTTTCATCCCCATTTTCACCCCGTTAGGAATGATTTCCGTGATAAAAAGTATCCTATATACTTCCAGGGTCTCAAAATATCTTCTTACCAAATTTTATCTAAATCGGTTCCGTAGATCCAGAGATTACCCTCTACAACGTCAACCTCTTTATTTTATTAGTATAGATGGAAATTGATATTACTATTATTGGTTCACATGTATGTTTATGTTGTATATTGGGAAATATGTAGGTAAAACATACGGCTGCACATTTGGTAGATTGTTTTGCTATAGTTTTACTCTATGATATTCCTTCATCGCAAAAGCAAAACAAATTATCGTTGCACGTATATATTTACGATTTATGTAGATACTAAACCGTTAGTATGGATTGATAGACCATATATTGTATTATATACTTCTCTCTGCCCATTTCCCAATCACTTGGGGTCGGGGCAGTACATCTTCCGTACTCCTGATAGAGTTTGGCCTGACGTCAACTCTCCTTGGGAATGCTATTGTTTATCTTGTAATATGATGCACTTTAGATTTTGTTGTCTTTTAAGAGTTTTTTTATACTATTACTTAAAGTTTCTGCCACGGTGGTGTAGTGGCTAGCATGTACGGCTGCACACCCGGAGGTCCTGGGTTCGAGTCCCGGGTCGGGCCAAGTTTAGTTATTGAGTTTTCCTGTATAGTAAGTCTCAGTAACAGCCCGGAGTTGGGAAGTTGGCGGTGTTTCACCCCCGTGCCTCGGAGAGCACGTAAAGCCGTCGGTCCTGCGCCTTAACTCTCACCGGTCGTGTCGAGTGGTGGTCCCACCGGAGTATGAGAGTGATAGGAATAGAGAGTGCACTTGTGTCTGCGCGTACACTTGAGCACTATAATATCTCCTGCGCAGTTGGCTAATCTCATTGAGATTGGCCGCCGTGGCCGGAATCGGCTAGGAGAACATCATCATCATCATCACTTAAAGTTTAATGTTATTTTTTATATACATAGGTACAAAATAAACAGACCTGTACTTTTCGATTCTCAAGCTGTTTTTTTGCGTAACTCCCATATATATATATATATATATATATATATATATATATATATATATATATATATATATATATATTTTGGTTCCCGACGTTTCAAGTGCTTTACAGCAATCATGGTCACGGGTGACACACGCGAAAAGATATTTTTTATTTAAAATGTCAAATATGCGCTAGTATTAAACATAATAAATACATGGACATTTCGATCACGACAACTTATTAATCTAATATCATTAATATATCACCAGGGACATCATATCGTCGTACGTCACTCACAGAAACCTGGGCAACTACACGATTCGGACTGGCAGCTCTTATAATAATAAAGGCGGTTCTATTTCTTCGGTAAAGTAAAACATTTACTTACATTTTTTATCTAATATTAGAAAAGCTTTTGGATTCCGCAGGGAATTATTTTATTTAATATCTTTGATGACTCTGAAACTTTTTGACTGTGTCGTTTTAGTTTTTATCTAACGTAGCAGTTATAGAATATTTTATATATGAGTGTATTAATACTAAATAAATTAGTAAATTTTTTACTTATGTATTTAATATTGATATTTAGAGAAAGGAATGTTAGATATGTTAGAGAGGAAGCACGTTGTAATAAGAATTTCGTGAATGTTTTTTATGATGCAGAAAGTATATTTCATTTATGAAAAATACATTAATAAGTATAACTTTTTAAGCTTTCATAATAGTATGATTACAATAATCACTGATCTGTATTAATATTATAACGAAAAAAGATTTTTTATTTGTTTGTTTATTTGTACCGAATAAGCTCCGAAACTACGGTCAAATTAGCTGAAATTTGAAAAAATCAATATTGAGACCCTGGGAAGGGCATAGGATAGTTTTCATCCCGGCAGTCATCCCTTAAGAGAGTGAAAATGGGGATGAAAGTTTGTATGGGGAATCAACGTATCGTATTCGATGATATAAAATGAAATATTTATCATAAATTTTTGTTAATATAAAATTTATTTTACATTAAACTATAATAATTTAAAATATAAATAAGATAAATTACATTAAACTAAAAAAAAACCTTAAGTATATATACATAATATAATAACTAAAAAATATTATTAAAAGGAGTTCCTTTAGGCAAGGTTCCGAAATTTTACATACACGTTTAGTTTAGATGACAATACATGGTCAGTTAAGTGACGTCATTGTAAATAAATCCAATATGGCGGACTCCCAAAGATGGTGGATTTTTTATGCACTCCCATGATATATCAAATGAAAGGGATTGCTGAGAAGAATACGAAGAAATAACAAAAAAAAAAAAAAATTTATATGATGATAAAGCTTTTTTTTAATGTTTTTTAATATTCATTTATTTTAATAATATATATGTTAGGACATTAACACACAGCACCATCTAGTTCCATGGTAAGCTACGAGACCTGTATTATGGATACCAGATAGTAGATACACTACACATAATAATATAACTTTAAATACATACATATTATAAATATATATTATTATTTTATAAATACAATACGTGTAAGTGTGACTTGAGTTTAGCTTTTAGTAATTCATATGTGTTATATTTTAGATCAAAATGTTAATAAATAATTTCGACATCAAAGTGTCTGCTGTAAAACTGAACACTCCATTGGTATTTGGTCCCAATATAAACGCAGTACATTTACCAAACCCTGATGATGAAGTGGTTCTGGGTTACCTTGCCACTATGCTGGCTTGGACACCAACTGGGGTAAGTTATTGCATATAAAAATTTACATATATCCATATATATTATCGTAGCTTATCGATTTAAATAACATGATGGCACATTGAATTGAACCAATTTATATGAACATGTGATATATTTTTTGACGACACGTTTGGCTCAGTTTGTACTAACCCAAACAGCAATAGTGTTACTTAATATTTTACCTATTTAAATTATATATAAAACAATAATATTGCTTAAATGAATAATTAATATTTTTAATTTTTAATATGTTTTAAGGATATACATATTATAATAATAAGAACACTAAATAATATTAATAATTTATAAAGTTTAAAAAAAATTTAATATTTATAACAATAACAGCTAAATAAAATTAAATGAATATTGCTGTATTTATTTATAGTACTTACTAAAAATTTAAAAGATTTAGAATTAAAATCAACAAATATTGTAAGGTACTGTATGATCCGCGTTACGCGGAGTAAAATATATAAAACTAACGCTAATAAATTATAATATATATTGTGTACCTTGTACTTGGACTTAGCCGTGGAAGCGTTGCCGGGCCCGGAATCCTTAATGCTGCGTAGGCACTGATCACTAGGGGTGTTTTGTGTGTATGTAGAATATAATACCTATATAAGCCCATTTATCAATCCGACCGAAATACTTTGATTTTCTTTGTAACCGACACAATTCAAAAGGGGAGCTCTCGTCCCACCGACCGACGAATACCAAATGCCATTGACAACTGTCATTTCAAACCCGACCTAAGATGATGCCATATAAAAAATACTAAACAGGTACTTTGGTGCCATTTTAGCATTTTTGAAATCATTTTGTAAAATTGTGAGTAAGCACTGTCTGTAACAAGTACTTATATAACGCCTTTGAGACGTCTAAAACCTTAGTCTCTCCCGTGATCATGATTGCTGTAACGCATTCGAAAGGTCGGTAACCAAAAATCAAAATAAATCTGCGAAATAATCCGAAAAGATAGTTTTATATAAAATTGTTGTATTTATTTTTTTATATTGATATATTGTTAAACGAGCAATTCTTGTATATGTATAAATTTTTTTCATGTATCGCGGAAACGGCTCTATCGATTTGGATCATAATTATGTTGTGATTAGGTTTTTTTTATCCAGAATTTTTTTTATGCCAGTAGCAATCAAGTTAAGACACTAAGGACACTCCTATGGGACTTATTGTGAAATTCTACCTGGCTCGCTTTATTTCAGTATCGACGTTTATAAATTGAGCGATGTCACGTTCGCTATAAATGTAAAAGTAAATAGCCAAAGTCACCAATATATTTCGATATATAAAATTTCAATTATATTTTTAAAGCAAAACTTTACTCAATTTATCGCCTAAGTAAGTTTATAAATAAATATGTGTGGGACATTAACCATCAAGTTCCATGGTAAGCTACGAGGCTTGTGTTATGGATACTTAATACTTAATACACAACACATATATAACTTTAAATACATATATGGCTGGAGTACAAACATTCGTGTTCATCACACAAATGAATGCTGCCAGCGAGAGTCGAACCCACGACCGCTGGTACAGCTAGTAAGGTCACTACAAACTGAGCTGTGTTGTCAAATGCACTTTAGTGCATTGTAGACGCGTTTGAAACGTTTCTATCATAAAACTATCAACGTACGGTTTGTAAGAGTCATTTATTGGCTAAATTCAAAATCTTATAATATTAAACGAGCAATTCTTGTAGTTATAAAAATTTCTTTCATGTATCTCGGAAAAGGCTTTAACGATTTGGATCAAATTTTGAATTTATATAAGGTTTAGCTTTTCAAGTTTATCTATATAGGATGTCTTTTCTTAAAAACGCATTTTTATATCTTTTTCTAAAAACCAAACCAAAGCCTAATAAAAACAAATTACATGTAACAAAATAATAATTTTATATTATTTCCTATTAACAATATAGCATCTAAGAACAGTGAATGCACCAATAATAAACCCAGCAATATGTGAGCCCTCGACTAAGTTCGTTCCCGGGCGCTACATCTGCATCGGTGGCGTGCAAGACCCTAACCGACATTTTTGTAGGGTAAGTTAATAAATAACACGTCTATAATTATTATTATAGTTTTAACAAAATAGAAACATCGATTTTGAAATCACTCAAACTTATACCTTTACTCAAAGTTATTATTCTACCCTTAACAATGTTTTTTTTTATATGAGATTACTCTTGAGGGATCAATCTTTGAGGACTATTCATTGTAAATCGATTTTCATAATATTATAAAAGAATAATGGAAATCGATTTACAATTAGCGAAGATATCGCGTACAATATCCAAAAAACACCATCGAATTGAGTACCTTCTCTTTTTTAAGTTTCTCGACAAAAAAAAATTTTTTTACAGACTGTCGTAGACTTGCCAAAATAATTTAAGTGAACCCAAATTTGAGGATTTTACTAATAACCATTGGAGAGCCTCACCATCAAAATTGTTTGATTGTATCAAATTACTGTATTGTCGTCCGGAACTTACATTTTACTAAATTTGAAATAGAGTAAAACTGAATGACTGAATTCCGACTGACTTCCATACAGATGGACAATTTTATAATTTGTACATTTGGTTCTTATTTACTCACCAAACGTCACTCAAATTTACAGACATAAAAATATATATTAGTTTTTTTTAAATAGTTACATTTTATATTATTTATTTACAAATAAAAAATAATAATATATTTTCACTGTACATATGTGTATCTATATAAATATAAAACAAAGTCGGGTTTGTTACACTATTTATAACTCAAGAACGGGTGGACCAATTTCTATGATTTGTTGATCTTTGATTTGTTGGATTTGTCTGTGCCCCGAATAGCAGAATAACTATTAAAGAATCAGAAAAAATCAAGAAAAAAAAACATTAAAATTTATATGGCTAACTCTGGCTAGTAACTATTTTTTAAAACGTAACTAGGACGAACGAGCGAAGCGAGAGTGAGCCGCTAGTTTCCCATAAAAATAACTTAACCAAATATATGAAGATTTGAATTATTAATTTTCAACAATCTCAACCACTTTTATTGTTTTGTTAGAAACAATCTTAGTAATTTTATTAAGAACACCACATACGGGATGTTAATCGCAGTCTAGTTGAGACATTCTCTTGTAACTACTATCCAGCATGCATTGTAATGAAACTGACAGAAAGCGTAATGGTAAACTGTACCGCAAAGCATTTACTGTGTAAATGAAATAAATCTTAATGTATATAAATTAGACTATTGTGAAAGCGAATGTTTGTATGTTTGTTACGCTTTTAAGCTGAAAAATTCTGGATGGATTTTGATGAAGTTTAGTAGGTACGCAGATAGTCTTTGATCCGACCGACCAAAGCCGAGCAGGGATAAATCGCTAGTCGTATATAAAGATATATGTAATATGTTTATTTATATATAGTGAATATATAGAAATATTAGGTATTACTAAAAAAAATAACATACCTACATCATATATGTATATATCTCATAAGTTTTTAGTGACTTATAAAAAATATCATCTTTTTCCCTTCTCCCATTTGAATTACACATTCAATTTCCGGCGTTGACAATGAAAAGTAAACGACAAAAGGTAAAAGGTATTTGTTTGTCACATCTTCAAACACTGTCACAATGGCCGGTATATATATATGTATATATATATATATATATATATATATATATATATATATATATATATATATTATTTTAACGTACTCGACTTATGATTAAGAATCTTTCTAAGAAGCATTTCTTAACGATTGAAATATTAAAATTTAATCTTAAATGAAAATACATTTTAAAACATGATGATGTTCTTTGCGAAGTCAAGCTTTATTTTCGAATCAATTTAATTCTTTTCAAAGGATTTTTAAAGTGACATGAGAATAAATTTTTTACGATATGTCGTCGTGACGTTGATGAAATTTTTAGCTGTTTTTGTTCTGTTACGCCAAAGAAGTAAGAAAAAAGCTTCTTAAGCGTACACAAGTACACATATAATATATTTTTTCTTATAGAAAGTTATCAAATATATCGTTTTGCACTCTGGATATTTTAGTACTCAAATAAAATACACTGTTTCTATTTCTCATATATAGAGAGATTTCCATCGGACTATTATATATTACATGTGCGAAAGTTTGTATCTATGTACATATTGGTTGCTTTACACGGAAACGGCTGAACGAGCGAAGCGAATACGGTATTTAAAATATTTTAAATAGATTTCGATTATTTTATTTAAGAAATAACACTATTTCTGATATTTATGAACTTACTTATGATCAATACAATATATAGGGGAATGAGGGGGGAAACCTTTTTTTTTTTAAAGTGTTATTATTAAACTTAGCTGTGTGCTATTATATACAGTTGTATTTTTTAAGAAGTAATACATATTAAATCTTTGAAATCGGTATTGGGTGTTGCTATGAGTGTAAACATAACCTGTTAGTTATTACAATTTCAAACATGGTACTTGTGGGGTACAAGCGGACGGGGTGATTCCGACTACCCGGTTTCACCCCGATCGATTTTATATGTAGGTATTGTGGGTGTTTGTTTTATTCCTCTTTTTAATTACTATTTATTTTTTACAGAGTGCGAGCGACAACATGCCACGAACATATGTGAAAAAGTCAGATAAGTTGCAATGGTCGGAGGCAGACATGCTTTTAGCCCTAAATTCGGTGATAGAAAGTAGAATGGGATATCTTTTAGCGTTACATAAAGTGTACCCAAAAGTTCAAAAGGCTTTAATAGAGCTGTAGTGTCATCATTTTTTAATGTTTTAGATACCATTTATGCTAAGCATGCTTTGAATCCCACGCAAATTTATTACATGGACGAGACTGAATTGACTTCTGTACCACAATACAAACTTAAAAAAACCGACTTCCAGGCACTAAAATGTAAAAAATAACTAAACGATGTTTTTCATTAAGAATAGATACCTAATTAGATATTTTCGAATCCGTAAAAAGACGAATAATAAAACTATCAGGAGGATTCGGAGTCTTTGGTTTGAGGCGAAAAGTACAGTCAAACTAAGTCCACAAATGAATACCATACCAATGCACTGCTTGACTTAAATGGGCTCACGAAGTTGCATCGGTTGTTCTGAGCAAGAATTATTATTTTTTGTATGCAAAAATTGCGAATAATTTGAATATTTAGTTTTATTGTTAGTATCTGTATTCACCTATAGAATATAAAATACCTATCCGGTTTGACCCATAGGTATGGGGTGAATTCGGATTCATAATTTTTAATTAAAATTGTTCTATTTTATAGTTATTAAGATTGATCTCAAACATTTTCATACTAAAGTTATGCCTAAGGTATACTTAAACATTTATAATATTGATTATCTCAATAAATAACATAGTGATTTATTTATTGTGTCTTCTTCTTAACTATCCGGTGTCCCCCCACCTTCCCCTACGTATAATAAAACTGTAACTAAGCCGAATCTGTACATGAAATATTTTTTGGAAAATCTTATTGAAATATACATTATTATCGATACAGAGCCCGAATCTATAGTTTTTAAAAATTTTGTCTGTCTATCTGTTACCGCATCACAGGAAAACCACTGGAGCGATTTTGATAAAATTGAAATTTGGTATGGTGATAGCTGGTTATCCGAGTCAACATATAGGATACTTTTTACCGCGGGAAAATGTCTCATTTCTGAGAAAAAATACGAAAACTGCAATGTAAGAGTATACTAATATGTAAAACCTAAGAATTTGGTTTTTGGTCACCTGAACGCAGGCGGATGCTAGTTATTTATAAAATCATATCCTTCGACTTATTTACTATGGATACTATTAAGTTATAACAATAATACATATTATATATTATATCTATTTCGAGAATAGTATATATTTCTAATAGAACGACAAAATTTATTAATCTTATAAAATAAGGTTGCTTCCTCATACAAAGTTTCACCCCGCTTTTCACCTTCTTAAGGGATGATTTTCGGAATAAAAACTATCCTATGTCCTTTCTAGGGTCTCAAACTATCTTCTTATCAAATTTCATCTAAATGAGTTCAGTATTTTCGGAGCCTTCCGATACAAACAAACAAACAAAAAAACAATTTTTTCCTGTTTATAATATTAGAATAGATTTTATAAAATTGATCACGATTGAACACGTGCAGAGCCAGGACAAAAGGTTTGTAAAAAAGGTTTGTAAATAACAAAACGTATGTACTTTTTTTATTTACGTTTGTAAATTTTTCAAAGTATCAATTTTCTTTGTCCAACGGAAAGGTTTCAGAATATCAAGGAACATATTGTTATCTAAATTGAAAACGGTGGTTCTAGGTCAAGCGTGAGGCTCTGTATTGTCTAAATTCTAAACATTTTCGGCCTTCGTCATTCAAAAGAAAGCTATGAAAAGATTTTATTTTAATAGATACTTTTTCATCTCTGAAAAAATGACAATATTATTTTAATTACTCTACTGTAACTTTATATATGTTAAAAAAATGTATATATATACATTTTCTAGTTATATTTTTTGTTGAATTTTTTTATACAGATATTTTTTTATTAAAGCGATAAATTTATTACATTTTTTATTTTATTAGAACATAAGTGAGCAACACCCTTTTTCTTAGTTCATCAATTATTATTTGCATGTTAAGTTAGCCTGTAATTGTGATATACTTTGTAACACTTTTTCATTTATAACTATATTAATTTAAGAAATTTATTCTTAGTATATAACATAGGTTTCCTAATAAATAAATAAAATAAATATACAATTTTCATTTTATAAACATTAAAAAAACGTAATTCGAAACACGAACACTATCAATTTTTCAATTTTATAACCTGCAAACCAAATAGTCTTAATTTTTTATGCTTGGCTTATGTAGAGGAGGCCGTAAGCGTTATTTATGTTTGAATTTACTCTTGTTAGCCGTTACATTTATAGTATTACTAGCGACTCACCCTCGCTTCGCTCGGGTTCGTTCCTACTTACGTTTTAACGTTTAGTATCGATTTTTCAGAGATATTTTCCCGCAGTAAAAAGTATCCTATATGTTGACCCGGATAACCAGCTATCACCATACCAAATTTCATTAAAATCTGTCCAGTGGTTTAATAAATAAGAACACGTCCGCTATGTATTGCGTTTATTTCACAACTGCTAGAACTACTACATACAAAGCTCACTAATATTAACTGTTACTTATATACTATGTAATTACCCTCTTATAATATACAACATGGTTTTGTCGTGATGCGGTCACAGACAGACAGACAAAAATTCTAAAAACTATAGATTCGGCCTTTGTATCGATAATAATGACTATTTCAATAATATTTTCCAAAAAATATTTATTCTACAGATTCGACTCATAATTTTATTATATGTATAGAAAGATTTCTCTCAAAGTTTTACCATTTAAACATTTTACTTTAATATCCACAAGAATAATATCATAACAAGAAGTTTAAATACATTATTACCGAAAATATTACGATCGGGTTTAACAATGTTTTTAGAGAATGGCTTAAATATTCTTATAGTCTTCTATCACCTCTATATTTCCTACGAGTAATAAAAGGCTATGAAATTCAATATTTCTTTCGACATAGAAACCTAAGATACTTTGTGAAATTCTGCTTTTATTGCATAAAGGTCTGGCTTTTACCCGCAGCTTCACTCTAGTATCTTATTATCAATATTCTAGCGACTTACCCTCGCTCTGCTCGAGTGCGTCCCTAGGACGTCTTGATTTTTTCTGAGTGGAACCCTAATTCTTTTTTTTAAATAAAAGTAATGTTACTCCTTATAACATTAGTTATCTTTTAGTGAAAGTCCCGTCAAAATTAGTCCATCCGTTTCAGAGATTGGCCAGAACAAACAGACAGACAAAAATTGAAAAAAAAAACTGTATAGATAACTCCGTTCCTAAGGATATAATAGCTTGATCTTAGCTAGCTAATAAACTACATCGATAAATAGGCTATAAAATGCAAAATTTTTTTTTGAACTGGCAATCCCAGAGATTAATTACGTCGTTCAAACTAATAAAATACGAACATGAATAATTTTGGTGTGTATGAAACGCGATTCACTAATTGTGAATTGATTTTCATGAATTTCTAATGAATAAGTTACTTCAATCTCATATTAATTTCAAGAAAAAGAAACACTTACGTCTGAGGATGGAATTACTTTTAAGCTGATTTTGAAGTTTGTGTACATTTTTCGGTACATCTAGGTATAAGTATCAGTGTCCGCATAATTATATGAAAAAATCACTATATTATTATAAAACTAGCCGCTCACCCTCGCTTCGCTAGGGTTCACCTCTAGACAAACAAAAACAAATATATCCCACGGAAACCGTGCATTTTTCCGGGATAAAAAGTAGCCTATTTGTTATTCTGGTGACAAACAGACAAACAGACCGAGAAACAAAAAAATTGAAAAAAAACTGGATTTGTTCTATTCCTCTTCTTACATCCCCCTGACTCGGTTTTTAGCATTTTTTTCCTATGTACAAACATTACAATACCCCAACATTTTTATTATAGTACAGATTATAACTAAAATATTGTTACTATCAATCTTCACAAACTTTTTAAATTATTAATGTTTCAGAAAGACAACGGCGGTGCAGTGATCCAGAACAACACTCTTGTAGCCATATCGTCTTTTTTACACACTTGTGCTATCTACACAAAAACTCACGCTTTTCCCAAAGTTTCTGCATTTTCCCGGTGGCTAGATACTGTAATTTGGGATGAAAACAACCGACCCACTACTGCTGTTCCAACTTCTACTACACATACAACTCAGACACCACAAAACGTCACAGAATTTACGGAACAGAGTTTTTTTGTTGATCCACGAAAGTTTATGCTCACGCTGCCTTTTGACCCAATAAATGTTCCTTTAGAGCCTGCTGAGGATAATTCTGTGATACCAAGAATGAGTTTATATGAATCTTACCTCCAAAACTTGGCTAGAGCAAAAACGTCGACCACAGTCGATCCTAATGTGCTAGAAGAGAAAAAGAAAGAGTGGCTCCAAAAGTTCGGTAAATCAATATTGGCGATGTCCCCTCATCTGCTAAACAAATTACCTGACCCATATGATTATAATCAATAAATAATTCATTTACAAATTATTATTTTTTCATTTTTCTTTATATCTATACTAATATTATAAAGAGACAGAGTTTGTTTGTTTATTTGAACCCGCTAATGTCAGGAACTAGTAAATCGCTTTAAAAAATTATTTTTGCATTAAATATCCCGTTTATTGAGGAAGGCTATAGGCTATATATTATCCCGGAAAATGTACATTTTCCGCGGGACAGATTTGTTGTCGTATAGGGACGAACCCAAAGCGAAGCGAGGGTGAGTCGCTAGTTCCTTATATTTTTCTAAGACATACTTAAAATGATAGGTTCTGAATATAACTGTGTACTATGGTTTTTCTGACACGAATTTTCAAAAGCAGTCCAGAGTTAGGAAGTTGATGCTGTATAACACTCTCGTGCCTAATAGAACATATAAGACCGTCGATCTGCGCTTCATCAATTTTCGGTTTCATCGGATTGTTATCCAAAAGGACTATGAATGTAAATAGTATATACATATATGTATCTATAAAGAGTAACAGTTTTAAAATAAATAAATATGTTGGGACATAAACACACATCACCAACTAGTTCCATTGTAAGCTACGAGGGTTGCTTTATGGATACCAGATAGTTGATACACTACACATATGTAACTTTAAATACATACATATAATAAATATAAACACTGAAGACTGGAGTACACACATTCATTCTCATCAAACAAATTAATACCACCAGCGGGACTCGAACCCGCGACCTCTGGCACAACAAGTAGCGTCACTACAAACTGAGCCAAACGTGTCGTATCTACACTTGTTTTGTATCAAGGCTAAATTCATAGTGGTATCTGTATAAAGTCGTCAAAGTAACCAAATACAGTTAAGATGACATTACTTTTCATTGTCGACGCACTTTAAAGGTAGATATATCAAATTTTAACTCAATCGGTTAACTGATTTAAAAAATTAAATAAAAACAAAAAGCTTCTGTAAAAGCATTTCAAATATTTTAATAAAGCATTCAAAGTGTTATCTATCTCTAAAGTTTACAGTTTTGTGTAATTAGGACGCAATTTACTAGGTTAATTACATTAAAACAACATTAGTTCATTGAATTTTCAAACAAGGCTTACACAAATAAGATCAATACTCATAAATACAAATTAAATTTCCTTTACAGGCTTAAAGAATTGAGTTATATGCACTAATTATTCATTGTTACGTACCCTGTAAAGTTCATTCGTTTAATGCACAATGAATATTTTATTTAAAGAATTGTTGCTTTAAACTAGTATTGTATGCTTAAATAACATTAAATACTTTTAATACCAAATCTTTTTTATAGATATATAAAAAATATCAACCAATATAAGCAAATTAAAAAAAGAATGATCACGATCCGATTACTGGTTTCGGAGAAATGTGTGGACAAACATAATTACACCTATTAAATTTGGTATACTTGTTTAAAAGCCCTAATAGATTATCAGATGTGAATATTTTGCAGTTCCAATAATAGTATATACATACGTGTCGAATTGATAACCTCCTATTTTTGAAGTCTGTTAATAAAGATGTAATATGACTAGCCTTCTTATAAAATACTAGCGATTCACCCTCGCTCGCTCGGGTTCGTCTCTAGTTACGTTTTACCGGTTAGTATAGATTTCTCAGAGATGACACATTTTCCCATAATAAAAAGTATTCTATATGTTGACCCGGATAACCAGCTATCATCATACCAAATTTCATCAAAATCTGTCCAATGTTTTTCCCGTGATGCGGTAACAGAAAGACAGACAGATAGACAAAAATTCTAAAAACTATAGTTTCGGACTCTGTATCGATAATAATGTCTATTTCAATTAGATTTTCCAAAAAATATTTAATGTACAGATTCGAGTTAGTTAAAATTTTATTATACCTATGTATAGATATTATATGTATGTGTTTATCGAAATCTGTTCAGTAGTTTAAGTTTGAAAAGGTAACAGACATAGGTACATATTATTTACTTTTATAATATTGGTATGGATAGTGAATTTAGTAATAAACTCTACTAACACTCGAATCTAATGAATCCGAGTTTAATGAATAATTAATAACACTTAGCTTGAAAATGGATGTTTGAACGGAAATCCGAAACGTAGAATCCAAAATGCTTCCGTGGTCAGTAACAAATACAGACCTACTACTACTGTAAATGTAATAATATTGTCTGTTTGTCTGTTATCTTTTCATCCTTGTATAGCTGAATAGATTTTGCTAAAATGTGACCATAACAAAGAGTTCATTCTGGGGACTGATATTTACTACCTTTAATCCCGACCAATCCCGAGTAAAGCCACAGGCTAAAGTAGTTTAGTAATAATAAAGACATAATATACTGTTAAGTTATATTTTTAGGATACATTTGCAGACGAAGGTAATTTATTACAATTACAGACTTCTTCATCCGACAATGCCAATGAACAAGTTTTTAAAAAAAGGCTAAGCCCAAATCTAATAAGTTGGGACCTAGCTCTATTATATTTAAAAGTTTATCATTAAATCAAGTTTTAATGTTTTTCTTAAATATTTTTTATTACGAGTATAATTTTTGTGAGTTAGGGATTTCTGAAACCTTCTGAACCCAAAAAACTGCGGTCTATTTTTGTGGGTATCCTTTTTCTGGCAATATTTTATAAATAACTTTTCTGAACTTTAGCAAAGAGCCTAAAATTTCATTGACCCATGTAGGTATTTTGGTAACTGTATACTTGTATGCTTATACTTAACCAAAGTTAGAAAAACAGGTCTTATTCCTTTTAATGGTTTTTACCTTAAAGAGTTAGAAAAATATATATTAGGGTAGGCTGGTCTAGCAGTACGCACTTAAGGTTCAAACAGTTCTAAAATTAAATTAAATATCTCGAGATAACCAGCTTATCTTTTTCTTGTACTTAATAATCACATCTTTCATAAAGCAATATGAAATGTAACAAAAATTTTTTTTTAGAAAAATATATAAAAATAACAGACGTAATAATTGCGTACTATTACAAGTGGTATTGGGTACGCACGCATGTGAGTTGATAATAGTACGCAGGAAAAATTATCTCATAATTCATGTCCTGTAGCTGGTACAAGGTTTATGCCACCACTCCTGGCATTTGGAACAGCCAGCCATGGTCGATGCCAGCCGATACAAAGCAAAGCACACCGACTTCGAAAATATTTGATTAGGTATGTATACTTTAGGTTTGTTTTACTTTTTAGTGCTTTTGTTTGAAGCCGGTTTTTATTTTTTTGTTAAAAAGTTTTTATTCAAAATATTTATAGTTTTATAGCAAATATTTTTTATTACGATTACACTTCCAAAATGCAAAAATTATTTAAGAAAATAGATAAATATGTTTACACTTACATAATTTCTGTGTTTTTGTGTGTATTTCTCTTTTTTTTTCGCATAGCACTTCTCACTAGCTTACAGTATAAAATAACATGAAGCTATTTTTAAATAAAACTATCTTTTCGGATTATTTCGCCAGCATCCATGGTCACGGGAGAGACTGAGGTGTTACATGTCTTAAAGATATAGTTGTTACAGACAGCCTACCCACAATTAACAAAATGAAAATTGCACCAATTACATTACAATATTTTTAACTTTAAACATTTTTTATAATTTTAATTATAATTGAATATGGAAAATTATTTATTTAATTTTTGCTATTATTTTTATAATTATTACAATTTTAAAAATATTAATTAGTAATCTATATTTAGTGTTGCCATTATTATATTTATAACCATAAATAAAAAATATAAAAATATAGTATTAATTTTTATATTTTTTATTTATGGTTATAAATATAATAATGGCAACACTAAATATAGATTACTAATTAATATTTTTAAAATTGTAATAATTATAAAAATAATAGCAAAAATTTTTAAATTTTAAAATTAAATAAATAATTTTCCATATTCAATTATAATTAAAATTATAAAAAATGTTTAAAGTTAAAAATATTGTAATGTAATTGGTGCAATTTTCATTTTGTTAATTGTGGGTAGGCTGTCTGTAACAACTATATCTTTAAGACATGTAACACCTCAGTCTCTCCCGTGACCATGGATGCTGTAAAGCATTCGAAACGTCGGGAACCAAAAATCAAAATAAATCCGCGAAATAATCCGAAAAGATAGTTTTATTTAAAAATGTCAAACATTCGCGTAAATCTAAGAAAGTATTAACATGAAGCTAGCCGTGGATCGTAAACAACGTCGTGGCTATTGATACTGTGTACTCTTATCGGATGCGTACTCTTAGACTAGCCTACCCTATTTACTGCCCTTTTTGTTACATATTTTGTTTATACGACATAATTTAAATTTATAAGGAACGTTTGTTAAATAACATGATTTATTTACTTTAAAGTTATGTTATCAACGAAGTATGTTCTTTCCGCGTACCACAATCGTGCATTCGTCCGAAGAAAAGCAATTCTGTCGTACTTTCGATTTTCAATATATTCATATAGAATATACTTGTACGAGTATTTAAAATAAAACTATCTACATATTAAAAGCTAATCTTTCCAAAATATTATATGAAGTACTAAATTATTTATACAGATAAATACAATTAAAGTGTCTGTTTATAATGTCCAAATAACAGCTTTTTACTACAGAATTGCGTATGAAAATATATACGGCAATTATAAGAAAACAACATTTTTTTCTATCTGGCTATTTGTTCCGCCTAATCTCCGAAACGGCTGAACCGTTTTGACGGGACTTTCATTGGCAGATAGCTAATGTTATAAGGTATAACTTAGTCTACTTTTATTTTGGAAAAAAGAAAACGGTGAATCACTAGTAATTATATATATATATATATATATATAATTAGAATTATGTGCTGATAAAATATTTAAATCCAATTTGGCTGCGGCTATTAAACATATGACTTCACCGCCCCAAACCATTCAAGAGAGTCTATTTAGATGTAATCAGGCCGCTTTAGGCTCACCAGA